AAAAACTCTTATATCTTAAATTAGTAAATTATGTCTAGCTCATCAGCCGAAATTTTCGCTTCATTATACAGCTTTTTTAAAAACCTCTTCCTTAAATAAAATAACCACTTCTAGTATAATCACCCAGCAGTGAAATTGTTTCAAAATTCAATCAGAAAACGAAGACCTCAATTGTCTTATGAAAATATTAAAGGATATGAAAAATGAGATTAATGATAATAAACGTAAACAGCATCTTAAATCGTTGCAGAATATTAACTAAGTAATTTACATTATTTTGTTCTTTGCATAATAGGAATAATATGATGAATACGTTGTCTAGACAAAATAAGTGTAGTGCGATTGAAAAAGCAACATATTGTCAGCGAGAATCTCTTTCATTATGCTTATGATGATTTTAAGAACAATAATGCCGGCTAATTCTGATTAGGATGAGATTTTACGCAAAAAATAAAATAATGATGTCTTCCTAAATTTTATTAATCCATCCATTTATTTTTAGATGCGATTCATTAGAAATGAGCTAATTTCATTAAAAGATATGGGTTCTTACGAGGAAAATTTGATGAAGAAGTAAATTGAAAAACTTTAGCCTTAAATAATATAACGCTTTTGAAAGATAAAATTAAGGTAATCAATATATATATTTCTTATCTCAGAAATTTCATCCTATATTTTTTGAACTTTTCTCATAAAATAAATATTTTCGATTGGATTAGAAAAAGATATGTCAGCACACAAACATATTCTTACAACAATAAGTAATATTGATATTAATAAAATATTAAACGATGATCTGCTGTATATTGGAGTAATAGATCTTAGTTCGGAAAAATATAATATACTGGAAAATAATTACAAATCTCTTGTCGTATGTATACCTTTATTTTTTTCCTTGATAAATTAGCTACTAAAATTACATTTTCATGTATTAATTATTTCTTATATTTATAGGGAGAGAAGGCTAATATAAGAAATTTAAGTAAAGATGCGGAAGTAAAGAAAATATGTAACGAATTTATATCAAAGAGGAATGAAGTTCATAAATTATGAAAATTTGTGTTACCTTTGAGAGATATTGTAACGCATAATCAATAGATTGAAGATGATCATATCAAGAAACGTATAGCTGGTGGAATTACTGATATCCTTTTATAAGAAATTAAGCTGAACGCACTTCAAAAAGTTTCTGGAGGATCTGAAAATACGTTAGTAGAAATTATTGCTCGCTTAATAGACATGGCTATATATTATTTACCTGTAGACTATGAGGTTGAAGTTACTAGGGCTGAGCGTCAAAGTAAAGCCAGCAAAAACTGCAAAGTTCAGCAAAAAACTGGATCAAGAGAAGATAAACCAGATCTTATGTTCTGTGCTTACCTTCGCCAAAAGTAGGAAGAAATCGTTTTCTTCGAAAGTGGTAAATGGGATACTGATGAAAATAAAATCTGTCATGACCATAATAAATTAGTTCAACTCTGTTTGAATGGCACTAAAGAACTTGTAAAGAAATGCACGAAAGAAACATTCTATCAAAATTATATAGGATTCAGGGTTAATATTGCAGGTAAGTATCTAGAGATCCATGATTTAATAATGGAAAAAGAAATAAAATACCATCTTCCAGTCATTAAAGCAAAAATACCTCTTGGTAAAGAATCAGTTGAGAAAATTGAAGAGTTCATTCATGCTCTATTAGTTTTACAAGTAAGTGTTTTTCTCATTTCTAAATAAATATTTACTTATATAATGATACTGATACAAAAATCTCTAATTCTAGAATGGAGTTATCGTAAATTTACAGAGTATTGTAAATAGTTTTCAAAAAAGATTAAGGAAGACAAGTGATATAAGTCCTCCTTCACATGAAGCTGGAAGATTAAGCAAGAAAAATAGTGCGAATTTCTAAAAACATTTCTTTAGATTAACTATGCCAACATACCATATTTGTATTTTATTTTTTCTATATCAATAAAGTGCCCTGATGGCTGATTATTTTTACATATTCATCTGTAATTTTTTTCTCGTGTAGGATATGAACCAGATAATAAATTTTTTTTTGAATTTTAGCGAGGCATATCATATTTCAAGGATATAGTTTTCCTGATTTCTTGTAAAAGTGATTGGCATTACAAATTATAACGCGCACATGATTTTTTTATTCAGTGGATTAGAGTTAATGCAATATATTTAATATAGGAAGGCAGAATTAATATTACGCAATTTTGCGGTAATAGCATGGTATTGACTTGGTATTTTTTCCAGATTTAATAGTAGAATATACTATTTGATACGGTAATGGCACAGTAATTCTTTTGGATCTATTATAACGTATTTTTGGCAGGGGTGCCCTGGCTGAAATTTTAGTCACAGGTTTTTTTTAGATCTAGTATAGAAGTTTCTGCATGATCTAAGCCACACCAATATATAGAGTCATTTGATATGAAATGACTTGATCCATAATATTATGCTCTTCCTTTCCATGTAGTTACAAAAATGTAGTTAAGAAAGATATATATAATAGCTTGGTCTTGGAGAGTTCTTTTTTACATACTTGAGAAAATAAGAAAGTTTTTGGCAATGTGGACTGACGAACAACTTCGAGTTTTAATCGATAACCGCAAAGAATACAACGAAAAATATCATGAATTAGTTGGGAATGGGAAAAGAATTTTTTGGAAGAGAGTCTCCACTAAAATCAACCTCAAGTTTGGGACAAGCTATTCAGGCATACATTGTAAGGAAAAGTTTGAAGGCCTCAAACGTGACTATAAAGTAAGTGAAAATTCTTTCTTCAGTCATTTTATTAGAAAATATACGTCACAGATTATCTAAGTTAGGACTAATTCTTCTCTATTGGATTTAGTGTATGAAGGCGTATATTGATGGTAAAGATATATGGCAATGACTAATCTTATTACCAACATTAATAGAGAATTAGATCGAATTGAAAATCACATTAAGGGAGTTGGTACACCTATGCAGAATCCTGCCAATATTATAGATAGCATTAGAGGCTCATTAAATATTATTCGGGTTATTTTGCAAAATATTACAGCTGAGCGTGATCAATTTCAGAACTTATTACATGATTCAATTCAGCGAGTAGATAATCTTAGGAATCAGTTTACTGATAGTGGAAATCAGAATTTACGGTTACAACGGTTATTAGATGAATTTTGAGTTCAGGTTAAAAAAACTGTGAGAGAAAGAGACAATGCTCAAGAAGAGCGAGACTTGGCTATGCTGGCCAACAATAATGAGAGACAAAAATCTCGTCACTAGATGTTTTCATATCGGGATAAAGTTAGGTGTGTTCAAGGATTATTGCAAGAAAAATTTGCTAAACAGCTATTATATCAGCGAGATACTAACCGTCTTCAGCAAAATACCCGACAGTTGCAAACTAATGCTCAAAACTAGGTAAATAGGATGTTAATCATTATAGCACAAAAACAAACCCGCATTGGTGAATTGCTACGTGAAAAGTTTGTTTTTCAGCTAGTGATTAGGCAAAGAGACCAGAATAATTTAAATTTGCAACAACAAATTTTGGTATTACAAAATAACCCGCCTAATATATAACATATGGCTCAGGTTCATGAAATTCATCAAATATTAGCCCTACGACTTGGGCAAATTAAACCTTATGAAGGCAATGCATACCAGATGATTTTATTCAACATGTTACAAATGTTTTTGAATCTGCCGGAAATGTAATCACGGCCGCCAATAATACTAATGCAGGTACTTTTGTTGATGCGAACAAATGTGATATCTTAAAGAGTATGATGGGAGATAAGTTTTTCCTAGTACCAGCAAATGATCCCTATACAGGTGGTAATCCCGCTATCAATACACCCGTTATATTTACTGTTTGGCTACATCATAAATATCAAGAAGTGATGGCTGGAAATGCAGAATTAGCTTTACAGTCATTGATACAAGAAAATTTAACTTGACAGATTCTCCTGATGTCTATGAATCTAAAGTCCGAAAACACATAGTAAATTTTGCAGATGATCAGATATTACCAGCATTATACACTCATTTACCCCTGGATCTTTGTAATAGTATAAAAATATATATGACTATAAGAGGTGTAGGTAATCAAACTGTAGATAATTTCTTTGCTGATCTCAGGAAGTGCTGGGTAGAACGTCAAGTTAGATCAAATATATACCCCCAGTCTGTTACTATGGGTAACCAAATCCAATTCCAAGTCAGTTCTCAGGAAGTTGCCTCAGCTGAGATGGAAAAGTTATATTCTAAAATAGCTTCTTTGGAAACACAATTAGCAGAATCAATGCAGGTGCATTCTAATCTTGTCCAATGCTTACAGCTACCAGAAAATGTAATTAATTCAAATAGTGCTTCAACCTTTGATAGACATCTTAATCAAGAACTGGAAAAAAGATTAGGAGTAATCGAAATTAATTTTGCTGAACTCTCAAAATTCTTAAGAGAAGAATCCTCAAACTATAATAATAGAGGATTGGAAAAAAGATTAGAACGAATTGAAGTTCACATAGCCAAATTTGCTAAAAAAGATACTAGAGGTGTCAAAATACCTCAGCGTCGACGCTTAGAGTCCTCACCTTTTGGAGGATTAGAAAAAAGATTAGGACAAATTGAAACCTTATTGGTTAAACTCGCTAAAGATTTCAAATTCAGAAGTGGTCGAATTTATATGGCTACAATAGATGATTAGTCTGATCCCATTTTTTCTGATGATGATACATCAAAACCTGAGGACAATAATTATAACTCTGATAATTCGTCAGCCGGTTCAGACTCTGGAAATCATGATATGAATATTTACATAAGTCATGAAAATGGAAAAAAAAAGTGAATTACGCGGTCTCTTTAGAACCTGCTGAGCAACGTAGATATTCCGATAAATCCTCAAAGTCTAAGGTCTCTAGTAAATCTGAGCTTCGTAAGGTAAAGCAAGACAATAATTTGTCTTCTGCCCATAATGCCTCATCAGATAAAGATAGTCATGGTAAGCGTATGTCTTTAGAAGAAACTATTCGCAAAATCATTCAGATCGAATTTGAGAATTATCTTCTGTACATAATTCAGCAGGCTAAAAAGTGTGTACTTGCTTTAGCTCAAGATTCAGATGAAGAGGATGTTTTGGATGGACCCATGAAGATAGATTTTGTCAAAAAGAAGGAGCCCACTACAAGTATTGCGTCTATAAAATGCAAGATTAAACGTCTTAAAATTTTAGCTATGGCACTGGATTCTTGTGCTGAACTTCCCATTATAACACCTGATATTGTCGAACACATAGGATATGGAATCGACAAATCCATAAAACATGATCTTAGTGGTATTGCTACTGTGCCGGTTGAATCTATTGGAGTCGTTCACAATTTACCGATAACCTTAGCTCCTGGATTTACTATATATGAAGATTTTATAGTTGTAAAATACTCTAAGCTAATGCTAATATTTTCGAACCCTCTTCTTAAGAAATATAAATGTGCAATTGACTGGGATAAAGATGAATTAAAGATTTCTCATAACGGCAAGGATTTAATTATTCCAGTCACCATGCACAAAGTCAAGAACAAGCTCGAGGAGAATTGTGTAACCTCTACTCCTGAATGTGATGAATCCTTGACCTCAGACTGTATTTCGTAAGATTTAAGCGAAAATGGCACATTAAAAAAAAAGTGAGTTATGAGGAACTTGAAAAAATGCTATATAGCGCTCTTAAGTTTAAAAAGGATTTTAACGAATTATGTGAGAAATTATTAGTACGCTATAATAAACTAAATGGGAAATATTTTCTATACAGCTAGACGTCTATTTAGAATTCCGAATGAGTTGAGTCGAGTTTAAAGACCAACTCTATTCGACTCATTTTTTTCGAGTCGAGTCAAATTTATTTTATAAAATTTTTCGATTTAATTTGATTTAAGTTATATAAATTTTAAACTCGACTCAATTTGACTCGACTTGATTTTAACTCGATTCTTATAAACATTTAATTAATAAAAAAATAAAATAAAAAAATAATAAAAAAAATGAAAAGATCGGGAGGGGGGGAAGGGAAAGAAGGGAGCGAACGATTTGTTATCGTTTTTTTTTAAACGTTTTTTTTATCGTTCAAGTCAACTCAAGTCAATTCAAGTCAACTCAAATCAAGTCGAGTTTAAATCGAGTTGAATTAAATATTTAACTCAACTTGAATTTGGCTTGACTCACAAATCATTGAGTCAAAAAAAACATAAACTTGACTTGATTTAAACTCGATTCGGCTTATCTGACTCGTGAGTTAACTCGACTCGTCCAGAACTCTACGTCTATTCATCTTTGCTTTATTATTTTCGTCTCTCTTATTTTCTTTTTCATAAAATGCATTCAGATCCTCTCTGCTAATATTTAAACCTTCTGAACCCTCTGGGCTTGTAATCGTTGGCTGATTCTGGTAATAGATGATTCAGAGATTCTAACAGATTTAGACTTGGGTTTCTTTCCTCCGGTCTTTTTTACCTTACTCCCAGAAATAATATTGCATTCTACTAAAACCTCTGATACATCCTGTTTATCTATAACATTTGTACTTGGATAAGAAAGCAGGACTGCTGAATAGTTCCATTCGACCCTCCCTACCTCCCGCCCTCTCTAAATCTGATATAAACGAGAAGTTGATACATGGAATTTCTTTCTTAATTGATCCAGAGGCTTGGACTTCATATCTCAGTATTGCATGATATCTTTATAATCTGCAGAAGATAATTTTATAGCATCGGAGCGCATATACTTTCTAGATGGTGGGTTGATCATAGTATTGGTAGTCAATCAGATTTTCATACTATTAATAAAAAATGTGTATGCAAAATATTAATACTATGCGTAATATGCAGAGTATCGGAAGCATCAATGGTATGCACACTACAGGCTCTATCCGTGATATTAGTAAAAAATATGTGTAAATTATTGAATCTATGCGAAGTATCAGTAATACGCAAAGTATCGGAAGTATTAGGAACATCAGTACTATACACAGTATTGGTACTATCTGTCCTTCAAAAATAAATTTCACTTGGAAAATTGTTACAATGGCTTAGCTGAAAAATTTATCCATTCATTCGCTAGGAAGTTCGGCATATAAATTATATATGCATTCAATTTCTTTATCCCAATCATTATTTTGGTTAGTCAAGCTAACATCAGGAGGATACTCCTATTCTCGCCAGATTTGATATACTCTCTGTGATGATATTTTGTATTTTTTAGCTAAAACCGATGATATATTCTTTTTACCTTTAGTATCTATAATATCACAGTATGCTTCAGGTAAAAGAGGAGTTGCATCAGATCTTAGATATCTACGCATAGTTCTTTTTATCAGTATTGGTTATATTTAATTATTTTAATTTTTACTGTACTAGCAACTAAGCTGAAAAAAAGGCTATGACCAATGTGTATACCTTGAAAGATATTAATAATAAAGGTCATCATCAGCTTGGTAGTGCGTATAAGCAAGAGCTCAAAAAAAAATTGTATATCACTCTTAGTTCTAAAGCCGAAATTAATGATCTTTGTGAAAAGTTGTTGGCTAAAAATTCAGAGTATTCGGAGCGAGAGGAGGAGTTCCAGCGAATTTATGCTGATATGGGAAATAAAGTTAGTCAGTTAAATGCGTCCAGTACTGAACTTAGATCCCAACTTATTTCTGAACGGAAGTCTCATTCTGAGAGTCAACGTGAGCTTGAAGCCAAATATACTACTGAAATCAAATCGTTTAAATCAAATATTAAAACTTTGAAAAGAGAGGCAACTTTAGCCTAAAAAGCTTCGTCCGCTGATAAGGTTAAGATTCTTTCTCTCGAAACTAAGGTAGTTAAATTGGAAGGTAAGTTGGAGGACTTGAAACTGAATTCAGTGTTCCATGATTCGAATATAGTGAAAGGGGTGATAGAGGAGCCGGCCCAAATAAACTCATTCGAATCCAAAGAGATTGATTCTCTCAGGCTTGAATTGGAACGGGTAAAGGAGGATTTTAATTCAAAAAAACATGAAATAGAATACATGGAAAAAGGGATAGAAGCGACACATGAGATAACCAGTCAGGAAAGAGATGCTTTGTCTTTAACGTGATTAAATTTAATAGAGAAAAATTCTCATCTTCGAGAGTTAGTGTCAAAGAAGGATAATGAAGTAGATTTTCCATCCCCGCCTATGAACGATTCATTGCAAAAACTACCAGGTTAGCTCAGTGATAATTTAAGATCCCTCGTCTATAAGCATGGTCTTGAAGATAAGGTTATGGAATTCGATAAAAGTTTTGCCAGGAAACATATATTAGAGGCTTTGCAAGAACTATTATCTCAGGATGAGATGGTTTTGAGAAACCAGGCAGTTACCCTACCTAATCAATCTGTTCATAGTCGACCAGCACATTCCGAAAAAATTATTTAAGAGAAGGGTTGCGAAGCAATCAGGTGGCGCAGAAGCAGTATCATTAGCCCAAACAATACCTCTAGCACCGGTCATTCCTATTGTTGCGGACTCCTTAATGTCGCCTATGTTAATATATTCCATACTTACCTTATTACTTATTGCAATCATATAGTTCGTAGTCAGAAAAAAAATATGGAATTCATAGAGCGCCAAGCCAAAAGAAAAAAGTGACTGATACATTCAGACTAGTGATTTACACCTCTGGGCATATCCGAGGCTGGGTTATATGATCGGAAGTCAGAAGTTCGAAGATAGAAATTGAAGTTGGCCGGTATTATTGCACAAGAAAAAAATATATAAATAATATTATAAGTATTTTAGCAGAGGTGTAGCAATTTCAGCTAAGAATACTTATCCATATAATTCGATGATCTCGTCTATATCTGCTTCAGACGAATCATCGAAATACTTAGAAAGTTTTATTGTAAAGTTTTTATATATTTTTTAAGCCATTTTTTTTACCTCGTTCTAGAAATACTAAGTATAAAATTACATGTAAATTTCCCAAATCTTCAAAATAAAAATTTTATATAATTTTGAGCGAATGCACTTGCTAGCAAAATACTGGGTCAGTGGTAGTACCCAAAAGTAGTCGATGTGGTAGTATCCAAAAGTAATCAATATAATAATGCCTAAAAATAATCGATGTAGTAGTACCCCAAAGTATCCTAGTGTAGTAACTATACGAGAAAGAATTCTAGAAAGGCTCGGGCGAAAACTAGGATATAGATTTGGTAGTAACCCAAGTTAGAATAATATATATAGAAAGAAAATAAGAAATTACAACTTGGGATACTATCGCCGATAGGCAGGAAAGAGATCAGGAAGGCAGAAAGGTTTAGGAGAATACACAAAAAAAGGGTATGAAAGCAATATAGTCAAAAGTAGTCAGTGTGGTAGTACCCAAAAGTAATCAATATAATAATACCTAAAAATAATCGATATAGTAGTACCCTAAAGTATCCCAGAGTAGTAACTATACGAGAAAGAATTCTAGGAAGGCTCGGGCGAAAATTAGAGTATAAATTTGGTAGGACGTAAAGGTAGAATAATATATAGGAAAGAAAATAAGAAATTATGCTTTTGCGTCCTACTGCCGATAGGCAGAAAAGAGATTGGGAGAGCAGAAAGATTCAGGAAAATACACGAAAAAAGGTATGAAAGCAATATAGCCTGAACTAATTCAGCACTTCGTCAACGTGATTTTTTACCACAATTTGGCATTTAAATAGGTAATCAAACAGGCGTAAAGTGTAAGCACCTTAATATAGAATCCAGCACCTAACCAAGTGCAGGAGGTCAGCATCCTCAACATAAAACCAGATATCTAAACAGCTACAGAGAATCAACAACTCCATTATAAAATTTAGCATGTAAATGACTCAGAAACAAGAAGAAAAGTGTGGTATTTAGATTATATAGTGGTAGTTAGGTTAAATCGTGGGTGGTAGTTAGATTATATGGTGGTAAAAAATACAGATAGCAAGAAAGATTTAAAGGATAGCTAGAGTATAAAAAAGATACCTGATACGCGAAAATAAATAGATTATATAGCGATAATTAGATTATATTATTTAGATTATATGGTGATAATTAGATTATATTATTTAGATCATATGGTAGTACTCAGATTATATAATGATATTTAGATCATATGGTGGTATCCAGATTATATGATGGTATTTAGATCATATAGTGATACCCAGATTATATGGTGATAATATAATCTGAGCAAGTGGGATACCACTATGTAATATAATTATATTACATAGTGGTATCCCACTAGATCTGATTACCTAAAAAGATGAATTATAAAATCTTAAAATATAAAATTTATGATAAAAGATTATTAATTATTTATCAAACATAATTAATTAGTCAAAAAATTGCTAAAATAAAATTACAAATTTAGGATATCAAATCTTTAAAATAAACTAATGTTTGTAAAATTTAAATAATTAAAACAAATATAACCTTATTAGTTGAAATTTATAATTTATAAAAAAAAAGATAAATAATGAGATAAAATTATAATAAGAAATTAATTATGATATTTATTAAATACTTTAAAGTTTTAAAACTAATAAAATTAGTTTTGGAATTATATATTATATTTAAATGTTCTTATTTAAAATAAGGCTAATATTCATAAATATTATTATCTTCAATCTACTGAAATTTCTGTATAATTATTAAGTAAATGTTTAGTAACTAAATTTATAGAAATTTTATTATTTTTAAAAAATATAATAATCTAATTTATCTTTATTATATTATGTATTAGTATTTTTATTAAAAGAACAAAAGAAAGATAATTCTACAGTTTTTACTCTAACATGAGATAATTAAAGATTTTTTTATATTATTTATTATTATTTTTATATCAATAAAATGATCTAATATTTTATTTATAAAGATATTTTCATACTTTTTGTATGTAAGTAAGTTTATTATAAAAAATTTATTATTTTATTTAAATATAAATTCCATTTTAAAATTATTATTAAATTTTT